TCTAATTTTATTATTATCCTTAGGCAGAAATTAGGTGTTACACCTTGCGCTTCAGGCCCACCACGAAATGCCATCTTCATCGGACCCCGTTCAACACCACTGTGCCATCGCGAATTCCAATATATAACCTCACTAATTTCTCTAAACCTATAAGTGAATCTTACAGTAACTCATAGAAGAAATTGGAAATAAAGGCTCATGTTCATATTCTGAATTCACGGTGCGTTGCTATTTTTGTTTTTTTCATATGGATTTGTATTCTGTTTGATGTGTGGAGAAGAAAAGGATGGGTTGTTGTTCTGAGAACGGAAAGAGAAGGCCGAAGAGGAAATGTTCACGAGAAGAGAGATGGATCATTCTATGCTAACATTGGTTTTTTTTTCCTATGTATTAAGTACAAGTTTAGGATTTTGGGCTTCACGGGCCCTCATTTTGCTGCTACACCCTTCTCGTTTAAACTCATACCCCCACCATCCTAATGGGCCAAGTCCAACATCTGGACTTGGACCCTTACTCCCTTCTTAATGACACCCCTCTATTTTACTAGTTTAACATAAAACGCACCCCCCTCACATTTTTTTTATTTTCTTTATTATTTCAAATATTTTCTTTTTTATATTTCTTATTTTAATTTCATTTATATATCCATTCATTTATTTTTATATTTATATACAGTTATATATTTATATCTTTATATTTATAATATTATATTATTATTTATTTTTATAAATAATTAGTTATTTTTAAAACTCATTTAAAATATAATATTATTTATTTGCATTAAATCATATCTTTTAATTATGTACTTAAAAACATTTCTTACTATATAATTTAATTTAATATTTTATATCAAAATATTAAAACTCGCGCGATTCACCAAATTACTATATATGCGAGTGACACGTGACCAATATTTGGTCACGTGACGAGGAGACTCTATCTGACTCCTTCGCTCTATGTATAACAAAATATTCAACCAAGCACCAAATATTTTTTCGCAAACTAAATTAATTTGTACAATTAATTTTCAAAAAGGAATACAAATATATTTGAATCAACTGCACACTTGGTCTAGCAAACTCCGCTATTCACACTCTTAGACCACGTATGGGGAAATTCAAATATATTTCGCGATCCATAAAAAATACAAACAACCCCACAAACTACGAAATGGGACTCTGATTCCTCCTAAGAGGATACGTAGGAATACGATAAAAAATCTTGGTGAGTCCCGCTAAATAAAATTCAAACCCTTTTTCCCAATAATAATTAAAAACCCTATTTGCTAAGACCGCACTTCTAAACCTAGTATCCTTGTGAACAAGGTAGATAAGGGGTTCCTAACACCTTCCCCTCGTCTAGAACCGAGTCCAAATCTAGAATCTCTGACTTTTAGGGTTATTCCTTTATACTCCATTCCTTTAGGATAAAAATTAAGGGTGTCGAATCTGATTTAAAAACCAGTTGCAGCACACTCCTTTTGACCAGTCATGTGGTTCGAGCATCCTGAGTCGAGAAACTAGATCTTAGATTCAACATAGTTATCTGCAACTGCATCCATAACCACCATACCACCTTCAGAATCATCTGAGTCTTGGCGTACAAGGTTCGCTCCTTTGTCCTTGCCTGTCGATCCCTTGTCTTTTATGTACCAATAATTCTTGGCTACGTGATCCCATTTGTCACAGTTATAGCATTGCACACCTTTTTTTATCTTCATTGTCCTTTTGATAATTTCCTCCTCCTCTTTTTGAGGATTCAGAAGTTCTATCTTTGACCTGATGCTTGTGAGGGTTCGACCAAGACTTCTTTACCTGAGTCTTGTCGACATTTCCTTTGAACTTATTAGAACCACCATTCCTTTTTTCATGACTGAGCTTGAAGTGCATATATCGAGTCCTAAACTCCTTTTCTTTCGACAATCTTCATCCCATGCGCCTCAAACGAACTAACCAAATCTTCCACTTTTAGGATTTCAATTTTGTTGGATTCTTGGATAGCGATGATAACGTGATCAAAGTGAGAGGTTAACATTCTCATTACCTTCTCAACTATCATCTTATCAGTTATGGTTTCACCATAACCCTTCATGAGATGGACGATTTTCTGAACTTTTGACACATATTCTATAACTCTTTCGTCTTCTCCTATTGACAAAAACTCATATTGTCGATGCAAGGTTTATAACTTGACAACCTTGACCTTCTCACCTTCTTCGTAATACTTCACCAGAATATCCCATGCCTCTTTCGCAGTTTCAGCATGAGAAATCCTGTCGAAGCTAGCAGCATCGACCGCCGTCTGAATGCAATAAGCAGCCTTGGAATATTTCTTCTTGACTTCATTTTGGGATTTTTTCTATTCATCAGTTGCAGTTACAGTCAATGCAGGAATGCCATAGGTAACCACTTCTAGGGTTTCATGGAAGCCAAACAAGGATTGCATCTGTTTTTTCACCGGATCCAAATTTTACTGTCAAGTATTAGAAGAGAATTTGGAATGCCCTTATCACTATCCATCTCTGTAACGGTTGACTCACTTGCCCTGGAAACACGATCTCTGACGTCAAGTTCTTGAAAACTCGATCAAGAATAATAACCAGGCTCTGATACCAATTTGTTAGTGCGTGAGACACTTTTAGTGAGGTGAGAAAGAGAGAATAACAGAGGAAATAAGGATTCTATTATTCACTTAATGAATTGTACAAAATAAGGATGTATACTATGACTATTTATATGACTTGGGCTATCACAACTTGAATTATATTTAAATATTAAATCTAATCAAATCTAATCTATTTTAATATTTCAACACTTTCTAGTGGAGAAAAATATTACATGATGTTACATCTTTCTACTCTAATTATCTTTTACATGTCATACATTCTCTATTTTGTTTAAGAATAATGTCAATTTTTCTCTTAAATTGAAGAGATTTTTATTCTAATTTTCAACTCAATTTTTTTGTCAATTCACTTCACTAAAAGAGGAACTTTTCACACCCTAAATATCATTGTCCCATGTGTTTGATTTGCATTGTATAACACCAAAATATCACACACACACACACACGCGCACACACACACACACACACACACACACACACACACACACACACACACACACACACACATATATATATATATATATATATATATATATATATATATATATATATATATATATATATATATATATATATATATATATATATATATATATATATATATCATATATATATCATATATTTTTTACTTTAAAAAGAGCTTTTTTTTGGTATATCGCTCTCCGAAGATAACTTGTGATATATTTGGTCTTTTCCCATGTATTCTTTCTATTGATCAACAATTGCACCGTATTCACAGGTAAATTTCCCTCTACAGGGAGGAGTGTGAAAAGCACTATAGGTTAGTTGACTTCTCGACTTTTTATCAATATTCCTTCTCTTACTAGCCTGGCTTGATTCTTTATAAGAGACTAATTGCAAAGATTTTCTACCTCCTATAAGCTCGTTACGCTTAACACCTACTTACTTAAAGACTCGTTGGTTTACGACTATATAAATTTTAATAATAATTTGAATCGTTACCTACAGAAGGAGTTTCCATTCTCCAGAATTACCTGATGATGATGACGCTTGTGAGTCAAAGTTGAGACTTTCCATGTATGTTTGGCATCCTAGGAGATCCCTTTCTTTCATTTCAAGTAGGCCACTTTTTCTGAAACGCAATCCGGGATAACTGTGACCATATAATAATATATAAACCTTTGGTGTTGTCATTTCAAAATGTCCGCTTCAACCGTAGTTTAACCTCCCAAAAAGCAAAGTTAGCTTGAAGAGCGCAAATGCGAGGAAGCGGCGATCAGGCATTGGGCATTCCCTTCTCTTGATCGGTGTATCCGCTTCTAGAGGTTATGCTTGGCCTTAATGCTTACTTCTAGGATTGAATAATGGTTAGGCCTATCCTATCTAATTAGTGAATATTAGTAGAGATTTTTCCGCACTTCTTTATGTTTATCTTTATCGATTAGGACGTATTTTTATTTGGTTTTGAATCTAGAGATTTCACTTAAATCAAGGATCTTAGATCTTTCCGCTGTGATCTTTTCTCTTGTTTCAGAAGCTGGGATTTGACTAACTTTCCTTTCTTAACCAGGCTCAAGGGAAGTTAGAAGTCAAAGAAGCCTTGGTGCCTAGAGAAAACGCGTTCTTCTTTCTTTTATTGCTCGAAGGGTGATCACTTTCTTTCTATTCCTTCGAGTTATATAGTTCTTCCTCTTTCCTCGTTTCCTCAGCGTCTACTGCATCCCAAACTTCATCTTGTTTCACTTCTCCGTGTAGACCTTGATATATATATATATATATATATATATATATATATATATATATATATATATATATATATATATATATATATATATATATATATATATATATATATATATATATATATATATATATATATATATATATATATATATATATATATATATAACATATCTTATGAGAATGATCTTTTATGTGAGAATATGAGAACAAATCTGAACAATTGATAGTGGGGGAGAGAGAAAATTGAATGAGAATAAAAATTAGTAGCATTAATAAATTAGCTTAAATGCATTTTTAATTCCTCTATATGTATTTTCTTAATATTTTAGTCCCCTTAAAAAAACCAACTGTATTAGGTCTCTCAATATCATTTATGGTAAATGTTTGTTAGTCTCTTACCATTTATCTCTTATTTTAATGATATGGCACCCCGAAGATAAAACCAATCATTTATCACGTCATTAAAAAAATATAATTATTCCTTTTTTATATATTATTTTTTCTAAAATTATTTATTTAATTTAAAGAAATAAAATAACAGGTATACATTCCGCCTGCTCGTGAGCATCTAAAAAAAGAGTTGTGGATAAAGATTCAGATCAGCTATACACTCCACCTGCTAGTGAAGATGAGCAACAGTATGAGTATTTTCCAAATTTCCAAAGTAAATTATGGAGAGAGGACAAAATTATAATGCATACGCTGAATTGAGGGAGAAGAGGTTGCGTTCAAAGTGCTTGATGGGAGTTCAAGAAGAGAATTTGGAGATTGAAATTGAACCAGCAAAAGTTGCTACTGCAATAACGAAACAGGTTAGGTTTCAAGAAGAAAGTTTTGAGATTGAATCACAAAAACTTGCAACTCCAACAAGGAAAAATGCAAACTTTCAAAGTGGATCAACTTATGGGAAAAGAGGTTCTTTTGAAAAAGAAGTAAAATTTGAAATTGAACAACCGAAATTTGTAAACCCCAACAAGGAAAGAGGTTAAATTTCAAGGTGGTTTGGCTAGTGGGAGAAAAAAGTCTTATGTTGTTACTTAATCTGTGCCTGATTTCTCTGCAGTATTGAGGAAAGAAAATAGGAAGCCGTCAAAATTTTCTGCCTTTGGTGGTGGAGACGAAGACGCCGCCACCTTCCAAGAGTATTTTCTATAAGGATAATAACATGACAGGCTCAATTCAAGAGGAAGCAAGTCAGAGAGTGCAAAGGAGAAGAAGAAAACAATTGGCGGCGGTGGCAGTGTTTCTCCCATCAGTTGAGTAAGTTGTGGTGTTTCCAAATTTCCCAAGTAAATTATTTGAAAAATAAAAAATAAATATATAAATTGATCTGGATTGGGCCTACACCTGCCCTTCGAACGGGAAGCCCAAAAACAGCCCAAGTTAGGGACAATTGGGAAACTCCCCACACGACCGTTGGAGGACTTTGCTCATGATCCCATAACAGTCATCTCAAACTGCCATCCGGGAATCACGGGTCCAACCCCATTCTCACGGAGCAGTTGACCAGGGGGAAGTCCACTTACTGGACTCCATACACACGTAAGCTCTAGTAGTTCCTGTTATTGGGCCTCAACGTGGCCTAATAATGGGAACCTTAGCCCAACGTTGGGGGCTATAAATACCCTCTCTCCTAAGAGGGTCAGGTATTCAATTCAACACTTCTAACTCTTAACACTTTCTTGCTCATTCTGCAACTTACTTTTCCATAAGAGTGTCTTGCAGGTACCCCCCATCTCATTCAACTTCTGTCCGAGCTAGCTGTGACGGTCCGTTTCTGATTCGGTAAGATCAGTGGCGCCGTCTGTGGGAACCTTGCTTCCCCGTCTTACATTAACTCGAGACCAAAACTAAACAATCCTCGACTTTCATGGCTGACCAGAATCCAAAAAACATGCACGTCCGTATCATCGACGTCAACAACAACATCACCGACAATAATGTCGGCCTCGACAATGCCGGTACCGTCGGCCATAATATAACCCCTGCCATTAATATGCCCGGGCCTTCTGACTATAGAGACGGAGCAACTGCTTCATCATCATCACTTCCTCCACGACTCGAAGATGATCGGCCACCTCCCCAGAACTACCAACCCGTTCAGTTCCATGAGGTCTCTGTTCCTGTCGGAGCCGACGCCACGACCAGGGCACTGTTTGCAGCGATAATTAGACCAACTACCTGATCTTCGCTCATGGAGAAATATTGAGCGCGCTCGAAGATGCTCAGAGAGCTCCCAAAAGACACAGGAGACCTCAGTCTCCTCCTCATCGACAAGTAGAGGAACATCCCCAATCTCCCCCGCGGAGACGTAGTCGGGGCATCTCTCGAAGCTCTTCTCCCCGACCAATCAGGCAACACCCCGTGTTGGAAAAGTACCAACCCATTGACATGGGGAGACGCGATCACGGCCCCTCGCGTCAAGAACGAAGACCCCCTGGAGACAAAAACAGGGGAAATAACGAGCGACCATACTTCCCGAGGAACGCTCCGCGCGACCAGGGCCACCATAACCGCCACTATGTTAGATCCCCGTCTCGCTTGCCCGAACAGAGTGACGAGGACAACCCCAGCGGTCCCTTGTCACAAGCCATCATGGAGGAACCCATTCCCCCGGTCATGGAGAAGCCTTCCCACCTAAATGAATACGACGGCATCGCCTACCCGGTCGACCATATAGACGGGTTTGAGGCCATGCTACATTATCACAATGTTGGGGGACCAAAAAATGCCGGTTGTTCCCCACGGCTCTAAGGAAAGCTGCGATGGACTGATACAAAAGTCTCACCACACGGTCAATTACCTCCTGGCGAAATCTGAAGAACCAACTCATCAGTTTATTCACTACTTCGTGACACCACCCAAGGACCGAAGCAGCCCTCGAGGCCATCGTCCAGAGACACGATGAGACCCTAAGGGAATTTATTGATCGGTTCAACCGGGAGGCCATCCAGGTCCCCTGTACCGATCACATGAAGAGATACCTTCTCGAGAGGGGACTCCTCCCGGGCACCGAATTCAGAAAGGCATTAGGCATCGAACCGCCCTAGAAATTCGATGCTCTCCTCGAGAAAGCCATAGCCTACATGGACTACAAGGAGAGAGAGGCGGCCAATAGAGCCTAGGATCCCAGAAATCGTGGATCTACCATTCATTCGCGACAAGACACCGCCCCTCCTTGACGAATTGGAAAGAAGAGAATGGACGATAAACCTCGAGACCCTCGGGAACAAAGAGGACCCTCAGGGAGGTTTATCGAGTACACTCTGCTGGCGACTTCCCGCGAGCGTATCTTAGCGGAGTGCGCGAATATAGATTTCAAGGATGGCTGCGTCAAGCATCCTCGCCCCACTCCTTCTAAGCCTGGGGAAGATCGAAGCAAATACTGCCAGTACCATCGGAGCCATGGGAACATAACTGAAGATTGTGTCCACCTCAAGGATGCTATCGAGACCCTCATAAAAGGGGGGAGAAACAGAGAAATATCGGCGCGGCGATGCCCCCCGTCGAGATGCCCGTGAAATAAGGGAGATAGAGGAGGATGCCCGACCATCTGACGAGTTGGTCCTCATCCATACCATATTCTCCATTACGAGATCGGAGGACTTTTACATCCCCGAACATATGAAATAGACTTTGTCTACACACAACAGGTGAGAATAATTCCCCTCCGCCATGGTCATAAATGGTGGGGGGTTTAATGACTTGACTATAAACTCAGAAAAGAGGAAGCTGGATGAGCTGGTCGAAGCGGCTCCCCCGCAAAAGGTGACCTTTGAGAGGGTTAAAGGCGGATCAGAGCCGATCACCTTTTACCTTGAGTAACTTCCCAGAGGGGCTCCCAATTCAGCCATCCCTCTTCTGATCAGGGAGAGAATGGCCAACTTCGACGTATATCACGTCCTGGTCGACGAGGGAAGTTCCGTCGACATGATGTACAACCAACTTTTCAGAACCCTGCAACTCGGCGACTCTCACCTTTCACCATACGTGGGATCAGACTTGGAGGGCTTTAATGTCTCGACCTCCAAGCCTTGGGGTACCTGGAGCTTATGGTCACCTTTGGTGAAGATACTACTACCCGACAAGTCAAGGTGTGCTTCCTCGCCATTGACTGCCCGTCCCTCTACAACTGCATCCTTGGGAGGCCGACACTAGCAGAGCTGACTGTGGTTCCCTCCACTGTCCATCTGAAGATCAAGTTCTACATAAAGAGGGCACGGGTCGCCATAATTCAAGGCGACCTAGGAGCCTCCCGAAGATGCTTTAACGCGGCGGCTAAGGGATAAAGCACAATCGACATTGGAGCACGGCCTACCAAGAAAGCTGCAACAGTGCGGCCAGAGCCTCAGCAGTCAGAACCACAGCCCATCGGAGCGGAGGTACAGAGGGATCCTCTAAAGGTCGATTCGATCTCGCTGGACACTCGCTTCAACCAAGACGAACCCTCGAATGGAAAGAAAGAGCTCCTCCGACCAATTCCAGATGGGGACTTCGAGCTCGTCCCTCTTGGTGAAGACCCGAGCAGAGGGGTGAAGATTGGCACAGGGCTCCCCGACCTGGCGAGGAAGCAGATAAAGGCCTGCTTGAGGGAGAACATTAATCTATTCGTGTGGAGCGCCGTGGAAATGCCTGGTCTCGACCCCGAGGTCGCCTGTCATCAACTCGCTATCAATCCAGCCGCTAGGGCAGTAGTACAATATAGGCGTATGCAGTCCCCCGAAAAAACGGAGGCTGCTGAAAAAGCTGTAAAAGACCTCCTAGAGGAAAATTTTATTTCAGAAGTCTGGTATTCAACCTGGTTATCTAATATTGTACTCGTTAAGAAAAGTAATGGAAATGGCGTATGTGTGTTGACTATACCGATCTTAACCAGGCATGCCCCAAAGATGCATTTCCTTTGCCTAATATTGATATGTTGGTCGACAACTCGATCGACTATAAAATTTTATCTTTCGTGGATGCCTATTCGGGATATAACCAAATCCCAATGGAAATGAGCGATAAACACTGCACTGTTTTCATGACCAGCTCGGGCAACTATTACTACAACATAATGCCCTTCGGTCTGAAAAACACAGGAGCAACATATCAGCGGGTGATGAACAAAGTCTTCTGCAACGAGATCAGAGATATGCTCGAGGTATACATGGATGACATGATCATCAAATCCCGAGTAGACACCGACCATGCCGCGCATCTCATGAAAGTCTTCGCCCAAGGAAGGCAATGCAGAATGAGATTCAACCCCGAGAAGTTCACCTTCAGAGTTAAGGCGGACAAGTTCCTCGGCTTCTACCTAACAGAACAAGGAATCGAAGCCAACCCCGACAAATGTTGGCGTTCTCTGACCTCCCTACACCCACTTCAAAAAAATACATACAAGTCCTGAATGGTATGCTCGCCTCACTCTCCCATTTCATCGTAAAATCTGCCCAACACGCCCTTCCCCTTTTCAAACTCATGCGCAAAGAAGTAGCTTTCGAGTGGACCAAGGAATGCGATTAGGCCCTCCTCCATCTCAAACAGAGCCTCTCACAGCCACCCGTGCTATCACGACCGGTCAACAGGGAGACGTTATTCCTATATCTGGCTGTCTTCATCGAGGCCGTCAGTGCGGCCCTCATTCGCGAAACTCATGACGGCCAAAAACCCATGTTTTTCACGAGCAAAGCGCTTCAAGGGCCCAATGTCAGATACCAACAAATCGAGAAGGTGGCTTTGGCCCTCGTCAATGCAGCGAGAAGGCTCATACACTATTTCCTCGCGCACACAATCATCGTACGAACAGACTAGCCAGTAAGACAGCTGTTAGGTCGACCAGATATGGTCGGACGAATGTTAAAGTGGTCCTTGAAACTCTCTGAATTTGACATCCAGTACGAAAGTAGGAAGGCGCTAAAGGCCTAAGCTCTAGCCGACTTCATCGCCGAGATCGAGTGGGAGTGGAGCAGGAATCCTCCTTGAAAATGAGGAAGGCGTCGTGATCGAACACTCTCCCACTCTCTCCTTTCCGACCTCAAACAATCAGGCAGAATACGAAGCTCTGCTCGCAGGTCTAAGACTGGCCGAGAATTTGGGCAGTCGAGAGTTACAAATTTTCACTGATTCCCAACTCGTCGCGTCACAAGTTCAAGGGGAATACCAGGCTAAGAATAACAGACTCGTTGAATATTTAAACTTGGTCAAAGAACACGTGAAGAAGTTTGACCAAGTAGAAATTACACACGTACCACGCGAACAAAACATGCGGGCCGGCATACT